TAAAAATTGCAAAATTTAGAATACAATGACTGCGGCGTAATTTCCAGGGAAATATTCGGTTACTTCGAAATTAATAATGTTTTTGCAAAAAGTTTTTTTGCTTTATTTGAAAAAATCATGCGCAGTGAAGTGCGAAATGCTTTCCTTCAATGATTTTAAGACAAAGCAATCGCCTTGTTGTGGGTCAACTTTCTGTTTGCAGTTAGTGCATAAGATGTATTTGCCTTTCATGAGAGGATTTATTTGTTTTTTGATGAATGAATTGAATTGAATTTATGAGTCTTATGAGGTTTTTCAGAGAACCGCAAAGAGCTCGAAAGTTGATGCAGCGAGCGACAGCAGCTCCACCCAGAAGAAGTCACTACTTCGATGAATCTGAGCCAGTTCAGTATCGAGTCTACAAATCACTTAAGGTCAATTGGTTGTTATTGGTTGCTCTACCTTATTGTTGGATTAAATTCAGTTGATATTGATTACCGTTGTTAGGGTAATCGTTATTGGGATTACCGTTGTTGTTGCGATGGCTGCTTGCGAAAGTGGTAGGATGTATGGGATGAATTTCCAACTGTATTGTTCGGTAATTTCAGGTTTGGTCTCTGTATGCGGACATAGAGGAGGCGTTCGGTACGTTGGAAAGTTGTCAGCGAGTCTACGAGCGTATCATTGATTTGCGTATTGCCACACCGCAAATCATCATAAATTATGCGAAATTCCTGGAGGAAAATGACTACTTCGAGAATTCATTTAAGGTTTCGTTTGATTGATTGTTCACTTGGTTATTTATCCAATTCAGGGTTTGAAGGTTTTGTTTTGATTTTGTTTATGAACTCGAAGAAGTTGAAAGAGAACTGTTTTGTTTGTGCTTTCGATTGTTTGGGATCCTTATATCGAAAGTCTTATCAGGAATCAAAATCCGTTAACATCATGCTATAATAATAATAATAATAATAATAATGCCAATGAGAACATGTTAAGACATACGAGAAAGGAATAGCGTTGTTCAAATGGCCTGTGGTCAATGAAATTTGGACGGTTTACTTGACGAAATTTTTGAAGAGATATGTAAGTGCTCGCTCGTATTCTATTATGTTCATTTGTCATGGATGCTGCTATGAGCATTTGATATTTTGCTTCATTCAGCAAATTATGTTAAAATGATAATATGCATGTCAATTTTCAAGTTGTTGTGTTGTTGCACGATCGAATTCGTTTTTAGTGGAATTACGAAGAGTTTAGTTTCGTTCGAAGGAGTCAAATTTTAGCGATGTTTTATATTTCGATTAGTATATTTGCATATATACGTATGTGTGAGATTCAAATTTTGTGAAATGTATTATTTTCGGATCATGAAATTGTTCATCTGAATTGAGTCGCCAGCTAACTGGAATAATCCTTCAGGGTGGTAAGAAATTGGAGCGAGCCCGTGATCTCTTCGAACAATGTTTAGAAACGTGTCCATCCAAATTCGCAATGAGTAAGTTTATATTGAAATTAAGGAGTTAAGGAGTTTTTGTCACTCTTTTAAATATTTCAATGAATGTGAATTGTTGTTCTTGTTATCGTAATTATTCGATCGTGATCTTATTGTTGTGAATGATTCAATGCGATTCAATTCACTTTCAGAATTGTATTTGCTATACGCCAAACTAGAAGAGGAGCATGGTTTGCCTCGTCATGCAATGAGCATTTATAATAGAGCCACAGCGGCGGTTGAGAAATCTGAGATGTACAGCGTGAGTATTTTCATTTTCATATTTTATTCATTGCTCTATGGAAAATTTCTTATTTTCTTATTGAAATGTAACAATGCCATTTCATTTCATGCATAAATTGATCTCTGAACAGTGTTCCTTCCATTGCATTTGGGCATTCAACTTAAATTTAATTTGATTTAGATGTTCAACATATACATTAAAAAAGCTGCAAGTATGTATGGTTTAACGCATACACGACCAATATTTCAACACGCCGTTGAAGTGTTACCCGAGGATCGATCGAGGTTCGACTTTTATGAATCGATTTTAAGTGTCTTTTTATATGTGAATTTGCATCGCTCTAGAATGAATTTTATTTCGATTTTTTGGGATTGAGATCGGCATAGAAATGTGATTCCTTCTAGTTGTGGGAGGAATATGATCCGAGAAGCTGATATTGATTTGATCGAAATGTTTCAGAGAGATGAGTATGCGTTTCGCGCAGATGGAGCGCTCGCTTGGTGAAATTGATCGTGCACGGGCAATCTATGCACATTGTTCTGAAATTTGCGATCCGAGGGTTGGTTCTTCGAGTATTTTTCAAAATGCAATTTGTGTAAAAGAGTTGATTCGAAAGGAATTGTTTTATGGAATATGAATTTCAAACGATAGATGATAAGTTGATTATTGTGGTACTATGAGAATGTTGTTGGTTATAGTAATATGATTTTGCTGTGATTATATGACTGATCAATTCTCAGTACAAAATGAACAATTTGTTCAGGCAGATTGATTGAATGTATTGAGCTAATGAAATGCTTAATGTTTAAGGTTCACACACAATTCTGGGATATTTGGAAAGAATTCGAGGTGAAGCACGGAAATGAGGATACGGTTAGGGAGATGTTACGTATAAAACGTTCCGTTCAAGCCACCTACAATACGAGTGTGAACGTGATGAGTGCTCAGATGCTTGCGACTGCATCAGGTTGGTGTAGATTTCGTGAATGTGTTAGGTTATTTGGGCTTTGCATGAGTTCAGTTGTTCTTAGAGATTACATTGGTTTTGTTCAGTGTTCATTGAATTAGAGTATGAGTTGTTTTGATTTGTTTTTGATTGGTGAACGAT